ATAATAATAATAATAATAATAATAATAATAATAATAATAATAATAATGCCTTCCATCGAGGACTTGTATACTGCCTAAGCCCGAAAGAGGGCTGAGAAAATATCTACAGACCAGTGGTGGGATTCAATGTTTTTTTACTACCAGTTCTGTGGGCGTGGCAGGGGAAGGTTGCAGCAAAATCTCCATTCCCTCCCCACCCCACTAACCTGCTTTCCAGCTCCGTTCTCCTGTGCAGGGCAACCAAAGAAGACCCAGCCAATCAGCTGGGACTCGGGAGGCAGAGAATAGATGAGGGCGGGGCCATTCAGAGGTGGCATTTGCCAGTTCTCCGAACTACTCAAAATTTCCGCTACCGGTTCTCCAGAACTGGTCAAAGCCTGCTGAATACCACCTCTGCTACAGACCCCTCGCATCCTGGACATAAACAGTTTCAACTTCTACCCTCAAAATGACACTGTAGGGCAGAACAACTAGACACAAGGAGAGTTTTTCCCCCATGCCATCACTCTGCTCAACAACTAATTCCCATACTGTCAAACTATCTAGAAAGGCAGTATTACCATCATTATTCTCATCTTCCCTATTCCCTGTCACCTTATCTTCTTATGACTATAACCTAATGCTTGCATTTTACGATTTAAATTGTTTAATTAGTATCCTAGTCTGATTTATGTTGATTGCTTATTTAGTATCCATGACTATCACTGTTGTATTGCATGATTTATGATGAATGTATTTTTACAATGACTGTGACAACGATCTATCACTATTGTTGTGTGTACACTGAGAGCTTATGCACGGGATACAAATTCATTGTGTGTCTAATCATACTTGGCCAATAAAGAATTCTATTCTATTCTAACACGAAGGTGCTTTTTCCAAGAGGCAACTGGACTTTCTGGTTTTTCTTTGAAGAGGTTTCGCTTCTCATCCAAGAAGCTTCTTCAGCTCTGACTGAATGGTGTCATAGACATCAAGCTGGAGCTTCTGCAATTCTAGTATGATTTATGTTGATTGCTTACTTAGTATCCTTTGACTATCATTAAGTGCTGTATGATTTATGATGAATGTCATTTTATGAGGACTATGATCATGATTCATCACTTATAGCTTTTATGTACACTGTCTGAGAGGTTAGGCCAGGGGTCCCCAAACTTGGCAACTTTAAGACTTGTGGACTTCAACTCCCAGAATTCTCCAGCCAGCATAGCTGGGAGTTGAAGTCCACAAATCTTGGATCCCCAAGTTTGGGGATCTCTGGGTTATGCACTGAAGACAATTTCCCTGTGGTTCCAATCACACTTGGCCAATAAAGAATTTTATTCTATTGTATTCCAACCCCTTTCCTGGCGTGGTCTGAAGAGGCTCAGAATTTTACAAAGGCTGGGTAAGGAGACCTGGGTTCATCTGATTTTGTATTGGAGGCCTTTGTTATGTAGAATACTCTGGCCCAGGCCAGTGAGTGCCTTAAGTTGGCGGTATAGCTGTTGAGCCTGAGTGCGTTTCTACTTCCGCTTGTGTTGCACCTCTTAACACGTGGATCTGGGCTTACCGGGGCTTGTCTGCCAAGCTCTGTTTTTGAGTCACGTTGTGACCTGGGAACAAAGAGGGAGGAGTGGGTTAAAATGGAGCCGTCGCCAATGTTCTGTGAGATTTCCCACGCGTTCTCGGGGAGGCGGGGCGAGGATGAGGAAATTTTGCAAGATTTACTGCTTATTCCTCTGATCCAGGGGTCTTCAAACTTGACAGCTTTAAGACTTGTGGACTTCAACTCCCAGAATTCCCCCTCCAGTCATGTTACCTCAGGAATTCTGGGAGTTGAAGTCCACAAGTCTTAAACTTGTCAAGTTTGAAGTCTCTTGCTCTGATCGAACCAGATCTTCCCTGCTTTGGCGTCGCCTCAGGGCGGGGGCGGGGGGGGGCGTTGCTCTCGCGGACTAAAGGAGCCCAGAGCCTTTTTTTTGTGTGTGTGTGCATCCCTTCCTTTGTTAAAAGGGAAAAAAAGGAGCAATCTTCCCCTCCCCACATATACTCCCCCACCTCTTCTCATCCCCACCCCCCCCCCCCCCCCAAAAAAAGCGTGCTGGATAGTTATATATTGCCTTTGGGTCTGATGTGTTGGGTTATAATTAAGGGGACAGGATCCTACCAGGGCAAAAGAAAACAATAATAATAATAACGATCGTTTTTTTCTCTTTCTACCACGAAGGTCTTCAAAACTTGGCAAGTTTAAGACTTGTGGACTTCAACTCCCAGAATTCCTGAGCTAACATGACAGGAGGAGGAATTCTGGGAGTTGAAGTCCACGAGTCTTAAAGTTGCCACGGTTGGAGACCATCCTTATAGCACAACATGCAACTAAACGCAGCCTTCCTTCCTTCCTTCCTCCCATCTCGCACACGCTTCAAACCCGGAACCTGACTTGCTGCCCCACCCCACCCCCTTTTTGTTTTGTTTTATTAAGCGCCGGGCTTGATCGGTGGAGCCGGTTTTCCCGACCTGTCCCGAGTTTCCTGTCCGGCGGATTATTTTTCCCCCTCTTGTTGCGTTTCTACATACACTTTAGACTTAGAGTCTCACGGGCGGCGGGGCGATCGAGCCACGGAGACCTCGTCCGCGTGTGGGGAGCGCCGGTGGGTAGAAAAGAGGCTGAAGCGAGGGGATTATGGATGTATGTGTTTTATTTATTTAATTTATTTTGTTTGTCAAGCATTATGAGAAAACAAGTGTAAGTGTGAACATAACATATAAACGTATAAGTGCAAACAGGTATAAGTATATACATAATAAATGCATGTATTTTATTTGTCAAGCATGT